CCCCCCCCACCCCCCCCCCCCCAACACATGCAAATAACAAAAGGCACATTCGTAATTTAAAGTTCTTATAAAGTGAAGCCACAATTAATCATACTGCCATATCATAGTTGCCAACATTGGGGAAAAAACATGAGATTTCGCTGGGGGGCCCACAAGGCGCCTCTAGATCGTTGGAAATGGCATTTTTATCTGTAGGTTTTATTACCCAACAGGGTCATGCAGGGCAGGTATTTATATTGCACAAATATTTGTGCCCCCCCTTTTTCATACACAAAAATACCTGACCCCCCTCTTTTTCCACCAGCCCCCCTCCCCTGTAATTAATGACCAGTCCCTAAACCAAGAGACTGATACATTGATGATTATAGGCTAATTTCCTCTCCGGATAATAAGCAGCATATCGGACCGGATAGAACAGCTTGGAAATTTGTTGCGCATGCGCCAGATTTCCATTGAAACTTGAAGATTTCCCCGAAGAAATATTACAAGATGATCGTGGTTGTTGTATATTTTTGAATGCCTGTTTAATCTTTATAATTTTTTTGCTTGAGACAAAGACAAAGTAAAATATACTCTCTGTTTCCAGTGTATAGAATATCTCGTTTGAACAGCAATAAAATATTATAATCTTGACACAAACAAGAAGACATTTGACACGCTAAATCTGCAGTCATGCCTGAGGTATAAAAGCCAATCGTCGCAACCTTGACAGCCTTGTCAAACGCAAAACAAGTACAAATTTGGGTTCAAACAGAAAGAAGTTCAATGTGAGGGACCGCTCTTTATTTATTGTACAGGGGGGGATTGAGCAGAAACTGGGGGGGGGGGCTTTAAATTTTTTAATACCTGAAAGGGGGCGCTTTGAAAAAATACAGAGTGACGAAAGAAGGGGGGCTTTGAATAGAATAGAATAATTTATTTAATGTCGAATGACACAGAGTGTGGTTGCCCAATTACTCGAGCCAGGGGCTCATGATAGAAGTGCTCGACAAAATTGAAAAGATTTACCAGTTTGAAAAAACATTAGTAGTTTTAAAAATGTATCAAAAAACAACTTAACGACAAATAACAATGTTTATAGATGGAAGCCAAATAAAAAGTCTCTTATGTTCATGTAAATAGACAATTCCTATTATAGACTAATTTTAGAACTAGGCAAAGAGTTGCAAATCAAGACCGGGTTTTGGTGAAAATAGTGGGCGAGGTGGAAAAATTTTAGGGGAGGTGCAGCGGTCTAGTTCACAACCCCCCAATATCAATGAGGTGAGGTATGCATGTAGTGTACATATATGTACCAGTATATTAATGAATTATGACTGTATGACTCCAATCTTGCCCTTCATTACAATTGCTACAAAATTTCTTTCAAAACATTGCATTAAAAGGGTACCTGATGCAGAGATGAATGGCTATCACTGTTTCAATTTTACAGAGAAAACTTTCCTACATCACAAAGTGTAGACCCTAAGAAACCATCACATTTTCACTTTCTTCCATCATTGAAACTTTCCCAAGGCGAGGTGCATGACCTTTCAGGAGAGGTGGAAAACGATCTCAGGGGAGGTGTGCACCTATACATACCTCCCCTCAAAATCCGGCCTTGATGCAAATAAATCACCACAGCTTGAAAGAACATACCAAAATAAGTAAATTATTGCAAAAAGCTTGGTTGCAAAATGTTGTAAAATACGGAAAATATAGCCTTGCAAAGTTTGCACATTTTGTATACTTTTGTATTGCATGCGAAAATTGCAATACAAAAGTATACAAAATTTGAAAACTTTGGAAGGCTACATTTTCTACATTTTACAACATATTTCACAACCAAACTTTGCAATTTTACTAATTTTAGTATGCCCTTCCCGCGAATATATTTTTTTTGCTAAGATAGAAAATTAGTCTATAATGGGAATTGTCTATTGATCCCCAGTCTATTTTTGTTTCTCTAAATAACGAGCTAGAGTTTTTGTTTCTCTAAATAAAGATAAAGAGCTAGAGGGAGGAACCAAAATTTATGTTCTTGTTTTGCCTGTTGGGGGGGGGGCTTTGAAAATTTTACTTGTCTTAAGAGGGGGGCAACGAAAAAATTTTATAACTGTACAGATTCTCCTCAGTTCCCCCTGTACAATAAATAATGAGCAGTCCCTTAATACAACTAACATATATACTATACAAATACGGGTGGTTTAAAAAGTTTTCAATTGACTTTTCAAAGACAAAGCTTTTATCTATTGCTATGATAATAACTGTGAAAATGCTGCAGTTTTGTTGACGCTTGCGAATGCAAAATAACTTCCCGTAAACAGAGCATTTCTACACAAAACTCTCGCTTAGTCTTCTAATGAACTTGTGCGTTCGGTTCTACTAGTTAAACAAGGAAAATATTCAAGACACACTGGTAAATTATCGTTGTCAAAAAACATTTCAGTGCTGAGGCAGTACAAGGTCTCAAGGCCAAGGTCAACTGGTCAAGTTGTCGATTTCATTTATACATTTTACAGTACTTCAAATGTTTTCGAACTCTTGCTTCATACAAGAGCAGTAAACGCACGCATTTCAAAGCGAAATTAGACGCAAGGGGCAATTTTTCAACAAAATTTATTGTTAAATTCTGTTTCCTATGTGCCTTGGGAGCAAAAAAATATGATTTTAAATTTGGAGGAATCCGTAATTTTTTTTGCAATTTGGCCTGGTATTGCACCCTACCTATGTAATGACTGTGCTGTAAAAGTAATCAAATAAACTATTTTGAATTTCCCTTCTTTGAAAGGATCTACTTTTGTGGATTAAACTAAATTTTAATCAGCATACAAGGCTGCAAACAACAGACAAGAATTAGCTGGGTAGTTTGCAAACTTTAAAAATAATTGGACCTCAAACTTTGATCCCCAAAAGTAAACAAATGGCCAATATTGCGAACATAATCCAAGTTTTGACCACTAGGGGCAATTATTAGATGTAAAAAAACTTGTTTAAAGTACATATCAAACAAAGGCAAAACAAAATTTGGTATTAACTTTTTGGAGGAAACATCAAGGTTTTTTTTGCTATTCACGCACGCTTCTACACCCCCTCCCCCAGGATCTTCTCTATCAGAAAACAGTTTTCTGCAGAAACTATGCTTTTTTATCGGGAAAATTTTTACTTTTCTCAAAAAAATACTTTATAAACACGGAAACCTTAAATATTTAAATAATTTTCATACCTTTTTGGGATTTCAAAAAGCAAAATTTGATTCATAATCACACTTTTTAAAATATACGCGACAAAGTTGCTTCGAAATCACTATCACGCAGTAGCACGTTTATTTACCCTCATCCTTTTGACTGAATAAAGTTTATCTTTTTGAGAAGCTATTTGTTTTATAGCTCTTGGTTAGCAGTTTACGTTTATGTCGATTTTGGCGCCCATGAGACCAACAAGTTGTGGTAATCCGCGAATGAAAACTGATATTCGAAGAGTAACAAAAGCCAACTCCTAGCTATGTAACTTTATCGCCTGAATTTTGAATCAATCCACAATTAAAATTCTCATAATGTAGATGCTTTCCATACTTGAAATGTTAGTGAAGTTTTTCCTACAATTTAATTTCCTTGATCGCCGTCTTAAAAATGCAAAATCATAAGTTGAAATTTCACTCGTGTTGTTTTTTCAAATTTTCGAATTTTTGTAAAATATCGCGTGCGCCAGCAATTTCTCTGCACAGCGACAACAAATTTCCCAGCTGTTACCGGATAGGAGGTTTTTCCGATCCAGGCTGATCCAGCAAGCGATTTCCAGTAAAACGACAAGTGGAATGATCGAATTGTAAAAGGAAAAAATGGAGCTTGTTCCAGTCTCACAAAATACTATTTCACACTTATTTCAAAATGGCAGCGGCTTTGAACAAGTGTGTCCTTCATCTGATTTGGTTACGTTGTCTCGCCAGCAAAGGAGAAGCAAACAAGAAAAATACAAAAAAAGCATTTTGGATAATTTGCTGTTTTGATGTAATCTACTCAGGTGAACAAGATGCTTGTGATGTTATTTTGAGTGTATATCCACACCGGGCAGGCTTGAAAAATATGCCTGGCCACGGTGGGAATCGAACCTACGATCTTTGGAATACTAGCCCAATGCTCTGCCAACTGAGCTACGTGGTCAGGTCAGTTCAAGCATGTAATATTTGGGAACTGACTCTAGTTCCTTCGATATCAGTATAATCTAATAATGATTATTAGATTATATGATTATTAGATTATATGATTATAGTTCCTTCGATATCAGTATAATCTAATAATGATTATACTGATATCGAAGGAACTAGAGTGTAAGTAAAAGACAATATTATCAGAGATATTTTGAAAACAACTTCAGCAACATCAAAAAGACCTGGGATATAAATGAATTAATAAACCGGGAAAAAAAAATCAAGTAAAGCTATCACATGTTTACAATGTCCAATAAGCAATAGAATGACATATAATGAACGCGAATTCCCTAATATTTTCAGTAGGTATTTTTCAACAGTGGGTAACAACCTAGCTAGCAAAATGTCAAATTCCCAAACTCCTTTTAGACATTATCTTCCTAATATTCACAACTCATCTTTGTTTGTATTCACTCCAATTTTACACCATGAAATTGAAAAAGAAATAATGTCAATACCAATGAAAAAAGCCCATGGCCTCTATTCTTGTCCAATTCGTATATTAAAATGTGCCAGACACATCTTGTCCGAACCATTGGCTGAATTGATGAATAAATCGGTCGTTAGTGGAAAATACCCAGCTGAACTAAAACTTTCAAAAGTCATTTGAAAAGCCTTTGACACGGTTAATTATTCTATACTACTAAAAAACTGCAACATTATGGAATTAGAGGTATAGTAAATGACTGGTTTTCATCATATTTATTAGGTCGTATGCAAACAACACAAATTGGCCAAAACATATCTGCCAAAGAAGAAACTTTGTCTGGCATTCCTCAGGGGTCGGTCTTAGGACCTTTTCTTTTTTTTAATCTATATAAATGACATTTATAACTCTTCAGAAAAGCTGAAGTTTTACTTATTTGCTGATGATACAAACTTGATATATGCTGATAAAAATTTAAAATCCTTAGAAACCATTGTTAACACTGAACTTTCTAAAATTCAGAACTGGCCAATAGCGAACAAATTGTCTTTGAATATTAATAAATCTAACTACATTATTTTTCATCCTTATCAAAAACGGCCAGATTATCTGGTGGATCTGAAAATTTATGATATTCACTCAAAAACGTATGTTTCCTTAGAACGTAAAAATCATATTAAATATCTTGGCATTCCAATAGATTGTAACCTTTCTTGGAAATACCATATTGGGTATATCGCCTCTAAAGTTAGTAGACTGATTGGTATTATTGCAAAATTGCGATCTTTTGTTCCAGTAAATACATTAATAAATATTTATTAAGTCCCTCATTTTACCTCATCTTACCTCATCTTACATACGGAATTGTTTTGTGGGGTCAAGCTGCAAAATGCCACATTGACAAAATTCTTAAACTTCAAAAACGTGCTATTCGACTAATATACTCTGCACATTATCGGTCTCACACAATCCCCCTCTTTCAATCTGCAAGTATTTTACCAATAAACTTGCTTCATATTAAATCGATATCAATGCTAACGTACAATATCAAAAACAAATGGCCCTCCAAATATTTCCGCGATGTTTACTTCTGTTGAACAGATACACGAATATAACAGTCGATCTTCTTCAATGAAAAATTTTCATGTTAAGTATACAGGTTTTGATTTACAAAAAAGATTTTTCGCAAATATGGGAGCTAGAGTTTGGAATGTGATTCCTATGGAATTACGTGAAAACTCAAAACATAATTTTCGGAAAAACATGCATGACAAGCTTCTCCAAATGTTGGTAATGGAAGATGAATATATTGATATTTCAGTTATATTAAAGCAATTTGGAAATTAAATTTAATAATAATTAATAATTAGATTAAATATCCCCGCAACTAAAGGCGTGCTACTCGAACAAGTCCCGTGTTATAAAGTTCTTGGAGTTATCTTTGACCAGAATCTAAGTTTCAATGATCACATCGACGCGCTATGCAAAAAACTGACCAAGAGGATCGGTCTATTGAATTCCATAAGACATAATTTACCAAATAGAGAACGAATCCAATTTTATAATGCTATAATTAAACCATTGTTCATGTATGGTGGTTTGGTTTGGTCGATGACCAGTCAAGAAAATCTTGGTAGATTGTTTAAACTTCAAAAACATGCAGCAAGAGTTATCTTAAATACCAAGTTAAGAGAAGAGAGAACCATGACTTTGTTTAAAAAACTGAAATGGATACCTTTCACTGATGAACTCAAAATAAATAAATGTTGTATGGTTTTTAAGAGTTTAAATGAATTAGCCCCATCTTATGTTGCTGAAAAATTTGTAACAGTCAAATATCGTCGCGAACTTCACGATATGGCAAAATAACTGTTGTTTGTCCCAAATACAATCGGGAATTAGAAGGGGGGAAATCTTTTTTAATATCGGCAGCTAAACTGTGGAATAGCATTCCTACGGATATTAGATCATGTTCAAATATAGATACATTTAAGAATAAATATCGAACATTTTTAACTGAACAATATCTAGATTTAGATCATTTTTAACTCTTTACTATTTAATGTAGCATAATGCATGAGTCAATTCCAACTGCGATCATCCTACCCCCCCCCCCGTGCGAACCCCCGGGACTTGACCAGAGGTTAATCCTGCATAGGTGGGAATTTGACGCGAAAACATTCACGCACTGTCGGGCATTTGACCCCTTTTATTTGACTGATCACTGGCGCAAAATTGGCCAGCGGTCGCGCTAGCTAAGTACTTGGTGTAGATGAACCTTGACAAACGTGATTTGTTTTCACGTGTATAAAAAACACACTACACGGGATAAATAGTTTTAAAGTTTTATGTATAAAAATGCCGCTGTATAAAGTTTGGAGCTCCACCAGGGAAGTTAAAAAGGCTGTAATTGCTTGTTCTTTTACAGAATTTGTTTTAAAAGGTATGTGTCTTTATGATATTTTATAGATAAAAACTAGTTGAACTTGCAATGGCGAGCATTTAAAAAAGAAACGGCATTGCTGTTTTAAGCCGATCATTTGAAATTTTAATATATAAAATAGCTTGTTAAATTATTGTTTTTGTATGGTATATTTGTACAAGTGTAGAATTTAATATTGTTTATTGTCTTTATTATTTCCTCATTTACAACAATTACAAAAAACAAGCGAGTTTTTCATGAGCTATTTCAAATTGTCAAGTCTTTGCCACTGACCTGAATGCTAGAACTGGATGGAGTATTCTTTTAAATTCAATATTAGAGTGTAGCCATTTCAAAACGAGAGTATTTTGGAAAGAAGAGGATATAAATTATAACATATATCTATTTAATAATACTATTATACTTTAATGTTTTAATATTTTGAAATAATAGGGATACGCATTTTAATCACATTTTTCAATATGCTATAATATTTTTTTGTATTTTCTATATTACTGTATGTTTTCAATATGTTTTCATATATTTGGAAAAAATTAAAGCCTGCCATTTGAATATACAATAAAATAGGCAAAGAAAAGCTTGGTTTTTCAAAAGAAGAGGAAGTGAACATCTATACAAACGATGATGGAACTGAAGTAGAAGAAGATACGTTCTTAGAGTTTGGATCGGCGACTATATTTATTATGACACGCAAAGAAGACCCTGCTGGTGACAAGGACATTGAATCCGCTATCATAATGGATGGTATGTTATTGTATTGATTAAATATTATATATCAAAAAAACTGGCGATTTTCATTATGAATGGTCATACAACTTTAAAGCAACACAAAAATAATCCTACACTAGAAGACTGTTATTACAAAAGTATGTTAGTATTAGCGTACGTACAGTTAATATTTTGCGGAAAAAGTGGTACAAAATAATGTTTTACTATTCTATAGATCAATCCGGTCAAAAGGTCCTCAAAGCACCCAAACACCTAAGCGAAGATATTGTAAAAAAAAAACTCCATGATTTTTGGATTTAACAAAAAAAGTGCTAAACTGACTGCTTGGCAAGAAGCTGTCAATAATGCTGCATTTCAGCTTGCCAAACACGATCCAGACCTGCTGTATAACAGGGCAGAGCTAAAAATAAAAGCAGAAGCAGAGGCTCGTAAAACATATGTTTTCAAGAAACCATCTGGATCTCGTAGCATTCACGTTCAACAAGAAAGCGGACCAAAGCCGAAAAGATCAAACTATTCAGCCAGAACTAATCAAAAATCAAATATCCTCAAAGCAACAGTTGTGTAGCAAAGCCAGCGCAGTAAAGGACTTTGCTTTGTGCTCAAAAGTCCAAGGAGAAATGAGAAAACTGTTCCAAGAAAAAGCTAATCATGAAAAGATGCTTAAAATGCTGCAGACCAAGGGAAGGAAGAGCACTTGGTATCAAAAAAAGAAAAAAAGTAATACACTACCACCTGCCGAAAGTAGTTCCAGTTCGACAGTGGATATAAGAAGCCTGTTCACCAGACAGCAGGCATCAAACACCTCAACGTGTTCTACTTCGGTTGAAAAACTAATTTATGATGACAAAGAAGCTGAACTTTACACTGACATATATATGGCAGAGATGGAGAAGATTGAAGAGGGCGTTTGCACCTACCAAAATTCTGATGAAGATGTAGTGATGATTTCGGCACCTGCCGATACATCGGACAACCAGCCATCTGGTGATGAAGTGTTATCTCCAGGTCTCACAAATAATCTGCCATCTGGTGATGAAGTGTTTATATCTCCAGGTCCCACAAATAATCAGCCATCTGGTGATGAAGTGTTATCTCCAGGTCTCACAAATACCCACGATCTGATGACCGTTCCAGTGTTATCAACCGAGCAATTGATATCCACTTCGACTGGTGTGGAGGAAGCTGTCGTGTCTATATCCCCAAGTACCGTTGAAGACGAAGTAATGATTTCACCGCCCACTGATACATCCGACAAATATCCATCAACTATAGTTCAACTGAATGACAAGCCTCATGGTAATAAAGTGTTATCTCCAATTGTTAAAGATACCCACGATCAAGTAGCTGTTTCAGTGTTATCAACTGAGCAATCAGTATCCAACAATACAAGTTCTCGAAATGACGGATCTAACAATTTTTTGTTATAGAAGGTCCTCCAACTCAAAATATTAGTTGGGGGACCAAATGTGATAATATTAAAACAATTGAACAGCTTGTATCAATTTTAAGACGTGAAGAGAAAAAGAGTCTTGTAAATTGTACTGCACAAAAAGTGTCAGGGAATACAATAACTGTTAGTAAATTTGAAGGACTAAACTTAAATCAATATTCACTAGCTAAAGCAGAGAACTGTCGTCAGTACCATGCTGTCTGCAAAAGTGGTTGCAAGAAAATGGTAGATGCTGCAAACTATTTACTTCAAAAGAAGTGGATACCTTTGCCTAAGCTATGGAGAACATGTTTCTCATTAAAACGATATGATTGTGATAAGGCTCAAAGAAGGCTGCTTCAAATGCCAGTGGCATGTATTCGATTAAAAAATGGCGTAGTTGTGATCGAGAAGAACAGTGATAACTGCTATCACGGTGTAATTTCTGAAATAAATCAAATCTACGATATGTTACCTCTGACTGACAATGTTAAAAAGGAAGATCCTATAAGGAAAGATGAGTGCCAGGGCTTGCTCAAATCAGCAACATCAACATCTGAAGTTCAAAAAATAAAGCATGTCATTGCAAGTACGCACAACATGTCTCAACGCGAAGCACAGCGCCTAGGAATACGACGTCTAAAGCAAAGAGCAGCCCAAGTCGAAGATGCTACAGAGACAGTCAAAAATATTAAAAGTAAGCACAACTACTTCGCAAAACTTGAGCAAAAAGCGTTCCTGCATACACATGGTCTTGATTTCGAGCTCTACTTGTCAAGCGATTCATCAGACAGTTCAGAATGGGAATCTGAAGACGAAGAGGTTGTTGAAATTAAAGAAAAACCTTTGTCGCATACTCTCTCAGCATCACTGGACATTGAAGAAAGATTGGAAAAGTCAGATACGGAAAAAGGCGCAGCAAACGACGAAATCCATGTAGAGTTAAATGAGACTCAGTCAATATCTTGTTCAACTACCGAATATACTTCACAAAAACAACAAGGAAATTCTCTTCAACAGAACATATCTGATCTTTACAGAAACACTATGCTTGCTCTCAACATTCTGAAAGATACAGGGTACAATTGGTTTGCTTTGGTCGCCTCCTTGGACCTCATACTTCGTTACCAGGGTTACACCACAGAAGATTTCGATCAATTTTTGGTTAATTTCGCAAACCAATTACACAACCTCGGGTTGAATGACGAGGAGTTTAGGCTAACAGAACAATCTAGAGCAGTTTACCTTACAGAAATGTTAGAAAAGGAAACACAAGCAGTGACAATCGATGAAGACGACGATGAAAATGATCTTACAGCGAATGAAACAAGTACTTTCCATATCAATGAAGAGGCAGTGCATCAAAAGTTGAAACAGATAAAGGATCGAGCAAGAAAAAGGGCATGTGCTGAAGTAGAAGCAACTGGATTATTCCGTAAGAAATGTGTGAACCGAATGGACGCCATTCACAAACGTCACCCGGATATTGGAAAGGTAATCGAGAAAATTGTCTCTGAAGCAGATGTTGGCGCTGACAAGTGGAGGAGAACGGGTGTTTATACGTTTTCTGGCGATACCAAAAAGGAAAAAAGAATCACCTTTAAAGGTCTCGCAGCGAAACTAAGTGAACACTATGGAGAAAATATAAGTTATGGAACAGTCGTTCAGTTGTGTGTCCCAAGAAATAAACGAAGAATTTCAGCGAAACAATACAGGGGTGTCGCAAACGTTCGGTATCAACGATCTAGGAAAGGATTCGACCTGAAGTATAATCCTGACGTGAAATGGAGTCGTTCTTTGTACAAATGTTTGGACAGACTACAAAAAGATGGGCAACACATTTTGCTGCTAAACCGCGATGACCAGGCAGGGTTTCGTTTGGATTTCACGTACACACACAAGAGTACCCCATCGTTAAATGCTGGCTCTCCAACATTAACCACCCACACAGATTTTCTTAACAAGCACCAGGCGCAACTTCAGACCACAAGTTACAATTTTTCCACAACGTCAAATACAAGTGAAGTTTGCTGTGGGGTAGTCAAAGCATCTGTGGTGCATGAAAAGAGCCCATCTCAACACGCTGCCGACTTAATGATGCTCGAACAAATTCCTCATCTTTCGCCTGTGTTCCGTAAACCAGACGGAGAAGTCAAAGAAATAGAATGCATTCGCGTAGATGGGGGAACTGATGAGGGTCCATCGCATGTAGAAGTACAGTTTCTCTGGACTGAGTGCCATTACCGGCATCCTACTAAAGTCACACTC